CAGCAAACAAGGTTGTGTCATTTGTATAACACAGGTTGTTGATGAGTCTTTCTTCAATTCTGATACCACATTCTTCCTCAGGAAGCGTAGCCTCCTGAATGATCTGTTCTGCATACAGGTTGAAAGGAATGGAAACAAGATGTATCCCTGATGCCCTCCTTTCCTATTTTGAACCATTCAGTGTTTCCTTGCTCGGTTCTGAGGACTGTTTTCCTGGTGCAAATGTAGGTTTCACATGAGCACAATCAAGTGTCCTGGGATTCCCATTCTCCTCAAGATTAGCCACAATTTGTTGTGATTCACACAGTCACATCTTTTGCATAGTAAATGAAACACAGATAGACTCTCCTCTGACACTCTTTGCTTTTAGCCAAGATCCATCTGACACTGGTATAATGTCTCTAGTGCGACAGTCTCTTTTAAACCCAGCTTGTATTTCTGGTAGTTCTCTGTCAATTTACTGTTCTGGTCATTTTTGGATAATCTTCTGCAAGATTTTGCTTGTGTGTGATATTAGTGATACTGTTCAGTAATTCCCACACTATGTCAAGTCACCTTTGTTTTGGAATAGGAACAAATACAGATCTCTTCCAGTCAGTTGGCCAGCTAGCTGTCCTCCAGATTTCTTGGCATAACCTGGTAAGCACATCCAGGTCAGTATCTGTTTGCTGAAATATGTTAATTGGCATTCCATCAATTCCTGAGGCCTCCAGAGAAGCCGGAACTTCCTCCGTTATCACCATTGCCTCTTTTTTCCCTTCCTCCTTGCTGTGTACTGTCGATTCAGATCCAACTGGCACAGGAGGAGATTGCCTCTTCTTCTCCAGGGGAGCATCTGGTGGATTTGAACTGCTTACCTTCAGGATTGCAGCACAGCTTCTTGCCACTAGGCCACCAGAGCTCCCTTGAGGTATCTTTTTTCTATACCTATTCCATCTATATATTGAGAAAACAATCCATAAGGCTGGTGTCTATGAAGAAGAATGTGGCAACAGGATCGGAGGAAGTTCCATCAACGATCTGTGCTATGCGAATGACACAAACTTGCTTGCTGAAAGCAAAAGGGACCCGCAGTGTTGTTGCAGGAGACCAAAGACTACATACAGCCTTCAACATGGATTGCATCTTAACATCAAGATGACAGAGCTTCTTACCACTGGGCTAGTGGGAACATCATCATAGATGGAGAAAGGATTGGAACTGTTCATGATTTCATTTGGCTTGGATCCACAATCAACACCCTTGGTACCAACAGTCAAGAGATAAGGAGACATACTGCTTTGGGCAGAGTCTGCTGTCAGGCATCTGTCCAAAATACTGAAGAGCAGTGATGCCAGGTTGAAGACTAAGGTGTGCCTGATTCAGGTCATGGTCTTTTCAATTACTTTCTACGCATCTGAGAGCTAGATGATGATGGATAAGGATAAGAGAAGAAGGATGGATGCCTTGAGCTGTGCTGGAGAAGAGAACTGAATATCCCGCAGATGATCAAAAGAACGAACGGGCTTGTCACGAAAAGGCGCAGTCGGAGTGCTCCTCGGAGGCAAGGATGGTGAAGCGTTGTCTCCTAGCAACTTTGGACACGTTGCTAGGAGGGGCTCTTCCTTGGAAAAGGACATCATGCTTAGAAGGGTCAGCAAAGGGGAGCAAGACCCTCATCGAGACGGAGTGACATGGTGACTGTGGCAAAGGGCCCACGTGCCTCACAGATGGTGAGGACGGCGTCGGATAGGACGGGATTCAGGTCTGTTGTTCACAGGGTTGCTATGAGTCATACTCGACTCGATGGCACCTAACAAGAGAGCTTCGTAACACTGACTGAAGCCATGAGGCCGAGGGTAGAAGGGTCTCCAAGCGTGCTGCAGAAGCTGTCCTGACCGGCTAACTTCCGTAATAAGAAGGCCCTGCTGGCCTAGCGGGGAGGAGTTGCGCTGCCAACCTACAGGCACGTGGCTGAAATGCAGCAGCTGCCCCACCGGGAGAAGATGGACTCACAGCCTGAAAAACCCACTGGAGGGTCAGCTGTGAGTCAGTTCCGGTTGAGGGCACACACAGCAACGTCTTCCCTAAAAAGCCCCTAATCACGAGGGTGGTGCCGTGAGTTCTGTGCGGCCACTGCTGTGCATCACTGGACCCATGAGAGCCCGTGAGGGCACCTGGTGTTAGGATCGGTGACAGGTGCGGGGGGTGTGGGCTACGTCCGACCACAAGGACATCGGTTTTGCACAAGAATCAAGGACATTCTTGGTGTACACTGTCTGCCCCTGCGGAATCAGTGGCAGTCTGGCATTGCTGCCCTCATGCCACCTGAACTTTTCCCTGTGGGTACTCAGAACCCACCCTCATTCTGGCCCTCAAGGAGCAAGCAAACCCTCCAGCGAGCCCTGCTTGGGGATCGGCATCCCTCAGGGGAAGAAACAGCCTGGACATTTGGACACGAGAGCTGTCAGGCTGCCAGAAGCCTAGTCACTGCTGACAGGTGGATGAGTGTGATTGTTCACGTAAAGTCCACCGTGCCCCTGACCGTGGGTGCCAGCCGGGAGTGGGTGCTAGCGGCCCAGCTGGGCACACTAGGCCCACGTGCTGTCTCTGAGCCCCGGGCCCTGAAGTCATCCTGGGGTCTTCTCTGGCACGAGGACAGCACACAGCCCAGGGCCTTCAGCTGCTGGGAAGAACTGCTGGATGGACCTGGACTTTTGTCTGAAAATACTGGAGCAGCTTCCAGTGGCTGCGGGGATGTTGTTTCCTGAGGACCCCGCTGGCCCTGGGGGGAGAGAGTGAGCACGTCATGACACTCATTTCCTGAGGCCAATAGCAGGTTTCTCAGGAAGCATTCTGTTTTATCCAACTCTTTTCCCCATTTTCCTGGAATTGTTTCTCACTGGCTCACAGGAATCCTGAGTGGTCACTGGGGACAGACTTGGCTAGGCTGTGCTAACAGGGCAGCAGTGAGGGTCTGCCCACAGCCAGCCTTGCGGCTAACCAGGCCCTGGCTTGCCATGTAGCACAAGCCCCCAAGTCACAAGTTCCAGTGAGCCTGTGGTCCAGTAGGGCAGACTGAACGTGTGTGGGCATGACCTTCCTGCTGAGATGACAGAAAAGGGACAAAGCCTGGTCACCCCACAGCTGAGGGGCATCACAGTGAGGGAGGGGCAGGAGCGCTAGCTGGAGGGGTGCTGGGCACCATCTCCTAGGGGGCCTCTCTGGCCAGCAGGCTGGGTGCCCAGTTAGTGTTCCTTAGCCCCAGAAAGGAGCTCCTATGGTGACTTTGCACTGCAAACCCGAAGGCACATGGTTTGAATCTACCAGCTGCACGTAGGAGAAAGATGGCAATGTCTTCTCATGCGATTATGGCCTCTGAAATCCCACTGAGGGTCAGCTATAGGTTGGCTCTGACTCAATGGCGGTGGTTGTTGTTGACTGCACCTTAGTCTCTAGGCTGGCATCGTTGCTCTTCAGCACTCTGGAGAGGTCCATGACAGCAGATTTTCCCATGAAATTCATCTTTTGATTTCCTGACTGTTGGGGTTAAGAGTATTGATTATGGAGTCGAGCAAGCTATAATTGCTAACAACCTCAATCTCTTCTCCATCTATCATGGTGCTGTCAGTTGGTCCAGTGGTGAGAATCTTTGTCTTTTTGATATTGAGCTTCAATCCATATTGAAGACCACAGTCCTTGACCTTTTTGCAGCAAGTGCTTCAGGCCTTCTTCAGTTTCAGCAAGTAAGGTTGTGTCATCTGCATATTGTAGGCTGTTAATGAGTCTTGACACCACACTCCTTCTCATAAAGCCCTCCTTCCCAAATGATCTGCTCTGCATACAGACTGAAAAGGTATGGGGACAGGATGCATCTTTGATGCCCTCCTTTCCTGATTTTGAACCATGCAGTGTTTCCTTGCTCTCTTCTGAGGACTGCTTTCTGGTTTCGTAGAAGCACGGTCAAGTGTTCTGAGACCCCCATTTTCCTCAAGGTTAGCCACAGTTTATTATGATCTACACAAATGCCTTTGCACAATACACAACAACCACAACAACCACCACCATCACCTACGGAAGAGATCCGTTTGTTCCCATTCCCGAGCAAACTGATCCAACAGAATGTGGCGAGTATTAAACAATATCATTAATATCTGTGCAAGCAAAGTACAAACGAAGGTCACACAAAAACGGCTAGAACGGCACACAGGTAGGGAACTGACCCCGTGACCGCAGCAGTGGGCGTGAGGGTCAGAGACGGTGAGGAGGGCCCGGCTCAGGGAGGGGTCAGGTCTGCTGTCCACAGGGATACTACGGCTTGTACTCAACTCGAACCACCTCACAGCGACGATGACAGACGTAGCAGACATGCTTCAGCACTACGTTTTCAAGTAATTTTAAGAAGTGAAAGCCAATGAAAAGCACAATGTTATGAAAAAGTCAGCACAAATTGGACACTCCAAGGGTACTTGTTTCCAGAATGAGAGAGGTAATGAGAAGACTGTCCCCTTTTTTGACCTCAGCTGGGCAGATGTGCGGTGGTAGCTCATTGTTTAGTCATTCTGCACATACCCACAGACGTCTGTGAGAGCTCCCGGGTATTAGTTTAGGGATTATAAGTACATTTTAGCAAGTAGCTAAATTTGTAAATACTGACTCCTCGGCTACAGTTAGTCAGAGGACTGACTGTATAAGTCATATTTTATTTATTTATCTCTTTTAAAAAATACTTGAAATGCAGGTTGAAGCCTAGGGGCCCATTACATCTGCCAACTTCAAGCAAGGGTTACCCTGGGTTCTTCTCGGAGGAGACACTTGCAGTCTTGTTTATCTGGTAGGAGGGGACCCACTTTCTGAGTTGCTTACCCACCCACCCTCTCACTGTGCCTCCATCAACCCCTTGGAGGCCAGCTTCCACGCTCCCACCTCCCGGACCACCCACCCGCTGAGCAGGGAGCACCGTGTTCGCATGCAGGGAAGCAGGGAGTGGGTGGGGAATGGCTCGTGTGGGGCCAGATTACCTTTCTGGTAACACTGAGCAATAGTTGCTCGGGCAAAGTCCTTGATTTTCTTATATTTCTGCAAGAAACTCTCCACAAACTGGGCAGCGTCCTCCACAGTGACTCCGAGGCAGGTGGCGAGACGCTCCTTCCCTGTATAGGTTGGAAGGAAGGCGGATCAGAGAGGATTCCTAACTCATTCCAAGCAGCCTCAGACAGGAACGAGCCAACAGAAGGGCCATCGGACAAGCTGAGGAACCAGGGACAATGACCACCACTGGGTCTCCTGCTGCTGTCTCCCAGGAGGAGGACCGGTCACGGGCACCAGTGGCATTTCCTGCTGGTGCCGCTGAGGAGCTGGACCGGTCAGGGTGCTGTCTGGCTTTGATTTAAAACCTGAGGCGCTTCGGTCTCTCCTTGTCTAAAGCAAAGGAGAATGGATAAAATAACCCGCCCCCCCCCCCATACTATTACTCCAAAAGATTAACTGACCTTCAGAAATCCAGTCTCCAACCTCGAGGCCAGAACTATACGGCTGCCTGCCACCACCGCTGGCCAGTCAGACAGGTTTACGATACAAAGTCCCTGACGGGGTCGGAGAAAATGAGCAACAAAATCCAAACACCTAAGACACAGCTTGCTGGTCCGATCGAGACAGAGACTGAGCAAACTGTGGCCCCTTGTTACTCTTCACGGCGGAGTCCACACTGTAACCCGACTTTCAGCCAATAAATAGACAGGCTTTAACGTGGCCACTAACACCCGAGAGAAGCACACCCTGTAGACCAATCACCACAGTCTCCAAAGTGCAGCACTTGCCCAGGGCCAACAGGAAGGAAGGACAGGAGAAGAGGAAAGGCAGGGGAGAAGGGGAGAGTGCTGCTACGGTCACCAAGGTCCTCAAACGTGCACACATTTTCTTATTTAACTCATTGCCATCAAGTCGGAACCAACCCACAGCCGACCCTCCCGGGGGTTTCTGAGGCTGTAAGTAGCATGGGAGGAGACGGTCCGCCCTCCTCCGAGTAGCCGCTGGTGGATTTGAACAGGTAAAGAGCCATCACCTTTGAGTTAGCTACACGCTGTGCTTTATGGATTACTGAATGGGAAAGAAACTTACTCTGTAAACTGTCACTCAAATCCCAGCAACGATTTCGTCAAGAAACGCACAAAACCGAAGCAATCCTGAGACGCCAGGGACTGGTGAACCGGATGGGGCTTGTGAGTATATTTTTATTCAACAATATTGACTGCGTGCTTTTGAGGCGCAAAAGGTGAGGCGGCGAGTGAAGTGGGCGTGATGTCTGCTCTGGGCTGGTTTGGTGGGAGACCGATTCCTGAACTGGGGGGCGGGCAGCTGGCAATGGGCGCAGAGGAAAGAGGAAGGTAGGTTCACTGCCAAACTACGAAAGGGCCTGCGGGAGAGCCTGCCATTGGGACTCCTATGCCGAGACAAACGCCCTTGGCCCAGGACAACCCTGGCTTCTGGTGATCCAGTGGACCCAGTTTTCCTGTAGAACCCCGAATTCACACACACAGGACTGGGTGCAGAGCCTGGGACCACAGAGGCCTGCACCAGAGTGCAGTCTGTTACCTGTGGGAGGTTGCCCATGACCTTGGGGAGGTTCTCTGACCTACAGAAAGCCCCATAGGTTCATCTGTAAATAAGAAACAGTGATTCTGAGTCCTGAAGGCTGTGGAGAGAGCCAGCAAGGCTGGGCAGGTGGAGCTCTGAGCACAGGGCTCTCCCCCAATTGGTGGACCAATCACGTCCTCCCAGAACAGGTTTCTTGGCTTCACGTGACCTTGTGTTTCCTCTGTAGCAATACAGGGGGACAGTTATATTAATGAGCTCCTCTGAAATGACAAGCTGATCAGTTAGTCATAAAAGGATTCAGGGTGAGCTGTGACCCCCCTTTAATCCCACCATAGCCCTCATCTGGTGTAAGGAGGGTTGTCTTGGGGTGTGGCCTGCAACACCCACTATCTTAGAGGAGATACAGAGACAGAAGTGGGCAGAGAGAGAGAGAGAGAGAGAGAGAGAGAGAGAGAAAAGAAGTGGGCAGAGAGAGGGACAAGGATGAGGTGGAGTGGAGTGCACCCCTCGGGCCCAGGCTGGACCTCCCCGTCCCGGGACGGTCCCCTCCCGGCCTGGGGATGATCAGGACACACAGAGGTCTCAGAGATGCTGCAACCACAGGTGCAGAAAAGACACAAAGGCCTTCCTCCAGAGGTGACGCAGACCGGCAACACTTCCCTGCAGCTGGTGCCCGAAATCTGGACTTCCGCCCCGATGTGTGAAAGAATACATCTGCGTGTTAGTTACCCACTCATGATATTTCTATTACAGCGACGATGGATGAACAGGATAGTCCTTCGAATATACCCAGTCCCTCCCTTTTGGCCGTATTTTAAAATAGAGAATGAGGGGTCCGTGAAGACAGGCATGGGGGCCGTACTGGATTGCAGACCACGGCAACACCCTGTGCTCTGAGGGGCTTCCCCCAGAGAGAGAACCAGCATGAGGGGCTGCATTCTAGGGGACTCTGTGACTAGGACCAGGAGCCGCTTGTCCACTCTCTGTACTGGGGGCCCTCTGAGATTACATTGGGGGTAGCCCAAGGGGCCTCAGACAACATGGCCTAGTAGCCATGGCCCAAGGGTAGAGAGGTGGGACTGAGAAGACCAGAGGAGAGGTCCCTGGAGGGGGACCTCACACATCCAGTCCTTTCTTCTGCCGGACCACTCCTGGTCTACACCACCTGTGGCTTCCAGCAGCTCTGGACAGTGTGGGTTCTGGGACAGCAGACGGGAGGTGCTTACTCTGCTGGCTGTGAGGAATGGGGAGCCTGGAGACCCTGAGCACCCCACTTGACATCTGCAGAGGGGACTCTTGAAGCCCTTGGCCCCTCTGCCTGTCCAGACCTGTCTGGCCACTCTGGACCTTAGGATGGAAATGAAGGGGAAAAACAAACTCAGAATCAAACCAAGCCCAAGCAGCGCCCTCAAGCCGCCAGGCGCTCTTTCAGGGCCTGTGAGTCTAATTAAGCGCGTGTGACGCCTTCATGAATAAGTCATCCCTGCTTGCTCCATTTTACGGCAACAGTCCATGACATTCCAGCCACCAGCCTCAGCGAGGGCACCCTAACGGAAAATTCCAGCGACTCCCAGACAGGACACACGTGGCAGCTGGGTCGGCCAGACTGGCCTCTCGAGCTGCCTCGAGCCAGACATGGCCACGGTGCTGGATAAACAGCGTGTGGGTGAGGGGCAGCAGCCCCCTCTCCACTAGCCTCACAAGGGGCAAGACTCGACATCAACGGCACAAAGTTGATGCCACTGAGGCCAGCACGCCCCAGGGGCCGCACCCTCCTGCAATCCCAACCCCAGTCATCGAACCCGCAGCTCCCAGTCTGGACTGTTGTTGCTGTGTGCAGCCAGTTGGAACCAACTCCCAGCTGACCCTCCAGTGGGGTTTCAGAGGTTATAAATCACATGGCAGGAGAGTACCCATCTTTCTCCCCTGGAGCAGCTGGTAGATTTGAACTGTGTGCCTTTGGGGTTGTGGCAGTTCCCCAGCACCAGGCCACCAGGACTCTCTGCTTCTCTACTCTTATTGTTGTTGTGTACTGTCGAGCTGGGACCGCCGTACAGCTGACCCTGCAGTGTGTTTTCAGAGGCAGCAAATCGTGCTGGAATTGACTGCTCATCGGTTCTAAAAGTACGATGAAGGTCACCCCAAACTCACAGAGCCTCCTCACAGACTCAGTCTCACAGCGCTCTCTCCCTGCTTCCAGCGCTTGCTCCTTTCCAGCCTTTCGTTGCTCTGCTGTTAGGGGCTCTTGAGTTGGTTCCTGCCTGGAGCGAGCCATGGACAGCAGTGACAGCTGCTCGCTCCCGGACCACCCTTACCAGGGCTGCTGAGCCCACTGCCCCAGCCACTGCGTCAGTGTCTCTCACTGAGGTGCATCTTCTTTTTCAATGACCTGCTACTTTCCCAAGCACGATGGTCTTCTCCAAGGTCTCTCCCGTTAACCTGCCCAGAGCAGGTGAGGTCAAGTCCGCCCACCTCACCTCTAAGACATTCTGAGTGTGCAGCTCACGCAGGCTGACCTCCTCCTCCTCCCAGGGGAGCTCTCCCTCAGAGCGCCTAGCACTGTGCACGTCCACTGTCTGACAGCTGCTCAAGCCAGAACACACGCACTCCACCAGGCTGCTCTGTCACCTCATGGCCAATCCATGCCAAGCGGTGCCCGCCTGCTACCAGCCCCACTGCGCCTCGTTCACACCTCAGTGGGTCAAACATGATCCAGCTCCTGGCCTCCAGTGGTTAGAGTGCACTGGCTTCAACATGAGCCACTTTCCCAGGTGCTGTCCTGTCCTGTGGGGCCTGGAAGGGAAAACCACCTCTCCTGGTTCTCTTTGAAGTTAGGTGAGCATGTTGTTGTTGTTATTTTTATGTACCATCAAGCTGATTATGTCCCATGTTGTTGTTGTGGATATGTGCCGTCAAATCGCTTGCGACTCATAGCGACCCTATGTACAACAGCCCTAAACTCTGCTCTGTCCTGTGCCAATCTCATTGTCTCTGACACACCCGTCCCGATTACCCCAGTCACTGAATCAATCCACCTCCTAAAGGGCCTTCTCCTGCACTGTCCCAAGCATGATGTCCTTATCCAAGGACTGTTCTCTCCTTACAGCATGACCAAAGTATGTCAGACGAAGCCTCAGAATCCTTGCCTTCAAGAAGCAGCCCAGTTTAACCCTCTCCAGGATGAACCTGTTTGTTTTCTTAGCACTCCATGGTATATTCAACACTCTTCTCCAACACCACAGCTCAAAGGCGTCAATTCTCCTTCTATCCTCCTTGGTCATTGTCCAACTCTCTGACGCATAACAAATGATTGCAAAGACCATGGCCTGTATCAGGCACACCTTAGTCTCCAGAGACACACCGTTGCTCGTAAGTACTTTAGAGAGGTCCCTAACAGCAGACTTTCCCATTGTAATACATCTTTTAATTTCCTGGCTGCTGATGCCAAGAGTGTTGATTGTGGAGCCAAGCAGACTAAAGCTGTGAAAAATCTCAATCTCTTCACCATCCATCCCTGATGCTGCCAATTGGTCCAGTGGTGAGAATCTTTGTCTTC